TGGCGCCCCCGGGGGGGGGGGGGGGGGGGGGCAGCAGAACCTGAGCTGAGTTCCATGCAGGCAGCAGTTTAAAAATATCAAGATCCGGCAGCAGCTAATCGGCACTTGGACCTGGCCACCACCCCGCTCCCAGCAGCAGCGGCCACTGTAAAAGTAACCTCCTGCATACATGGAGGAGGACACCCGAGGCCCTGTGGGACAGGGGCTGTCCTGCTGGACAAGGGCTGTCCTGCAGGGTAGGGAGGGGGCTGCGCCGTGCGCAGAGCAGCCACAGGGGGGATGGAGCAGCCAAAGCCGTGTGCCCCCAAGAGTCCGCCCCCGCCGGCAAATGGGAGCTGCCTACGGGCTCTGCAGGGGGCAGAGGAGTAGAATTTTTTCACGGAACCCTTAGCTGGTTCCGCGGAACACCATTTGGGAAACACTGGTATAGATAATACTGTACATTGACATTTTAATGAAAGATTTACAGTAAGTTCATCTATGAGTAAGCTGTCTTAAAATACCTCTACAAGATCCTTTCTTGGTCTTAGCTTTAAGAGTGGCTCACTAAGGCGAATGGAACACATCCCACCTCTTCCTTCATAGCTGCACACTCCAGCACATCTAAAAATGAAAAACAAGTAGAATGGAGACTTCTAATTGTTTTTGTAGCTGGCGGGGCATAATTGAGAATTAAATACACAAACATTAGCCCTAACAATTCCAAGTAAACCAAGAATAACACAACCTTGCTAAAGTCAAAAAAGCAAGTATTACCCACAATTTAACCAATCATTTAATATTTAGGAAATGGAAAAATATTTTCTTCTAATATAGTCCTAAAATACTCGAATAAATACTTGACTACATATACGGCTCTCACTTCAATTTCTCTGTCCCAAAGAATTACAAAACAAATGTATTTGGTGAAAACAAAACAGAATTGCTACACCTTAAAATACATCTAATGTGCAATGTAGGGATGTGAATACCCCTTAAAACAGTTAACCAGTTAAACTATTAAAATTGTATTGTTTAACTGGTTAAAAAGGCTGGTGCAGAGCAGCAGTGGCTGGGATCCTGCAGCAGGGTCTTCTTCAAGAAGAGGCCACTGCAGCTGGGGTCCTCCAACTTGGCCAGTTGCATTAGGGGTCTGCCTGCCACAGGCAGGGAGCTGCCTGTTGGGCTGTGCGGAATGAGGACAGCTCCCACAAGGCTCAGACTTCTGGTTACCTGCTTGCTTACCTGGTAACAGGTTAAGGCTAATATTTATAAATTAACCGCTTAGTCTTTTACATCTCTAATGCATTAATCCATATGTTGTTTTAACAGTCTTAACAATGCTTACTATGTATCCTGTTATAAATGCTGACTCCTGAAGTCATTCTGTGCCAAAAGTTTAAAAATTCTATGCATTAAAAACCCTAACGTTTTAAAATTCTGCAAATTGTATTTGTCAAATAATTGTGGAGGTTCCAGCATGGCATTTGAGAGCACACGCCACTAGCTACACAGACATGAGAGATAACTGTGCAGTTCCCCCCAGGACATGCACCCACCCCTGACACAGCACAAGGACCCAGCCTGCCTCAGAAACACCCAAGGGTTCTGCCCCTCAGTGTGTGCTGGCAGATTCAACAAGGAAGGATCCAAGTGTAGAAAGGCTTAATGTCAGGGAATCCAGGTGTGGGGCAATCGTGGGGTACAGGAGGCTCAGTGCAGAATCTGGGTGCAATGGCAATGAGACTCTTCTAGGGAGTCTTTGTGCAGTTCAACGTGCAGTTCTGGCACAGTGAACTGCTTGGGTACCCAGGTGCATTACAGACACGCAGCGGGTTTCCTCCCACATCGCCCCCGAAACTAGCGTCCCAGCGATCCCCTGGGGTTGTGATCTCAGGGTCCCCCCAGGCTCTTCCAGGGAGCCCAAAGTGGTTGGAGCTCATCGGGGTGGGGGTCTGCTTGTGAGGGGGACAGAGCTTAGCAAGTTGGACAGATGGGGAAGCAGCTCTGTGTATGGGGATCACTCCCCCTGCAGCAGATGAGGAATGGCTGCAGGAAGTGGGTGCATGTGTGGAATGGGGGTGTTTGCAGCACTGCCTGCAGCTGGGGGAAGAAATCTGGGGTGGGTCTAATCCAGCCCCAACTGCCTTGCAGTAGAAGAGGAAGTCCAGTCTACGCCAGCCCAGCGATGGCCAAGAGCCATCAACCAGGTCTTCCCCAGTCCCATCTCTTGCCCCACAATGATTTGTCTTGCTGCCAGCTGCCCCATGCAACCAAAATACACTGCTGAGGAGGGTCACACAACCATTTTTATGTCTTCTTTTTGCTTCCCCATCAGAAAGTCTTTTTACTGCAGGGAAGCAAAGAAATCTGCAGGTGGCATAAAATCTGCACATGTGCTGCGGTGCAGAATTCCCCCAGAAGTAACTGTCTCCCCAAATTTACCTACTCTAGTGGGAAACACAAAGCTTTGAGTATGTGACACCAAGAGGGACTTTCAGTCCCTCACTAGTGTATGTGACAGATGATGTCTCTGAACAGGTCGCCTCCAGAGCAGAGGGCATAAGAATTAGCTATTTCAAGTTCGTCAGAAACACCAACATCTGACCTGGCACCTCATCGCTAGTCACCGCCACCCGGTGAGCCTCGAGGGGCGCCGCTGACAAGAGTCTGCCCGAGTGGCCCAGGCGCAGCATCACTCAGTGACCTGCTCGGGGACCCGGGCGCCTTTGCAGACGCGCGTCGGTTTTTCCCCCACATTGCCCCGAAACCAGCTTCCCCGCTGGCTCCCGGACACCAACATCTGACCTGGCACCTCATCGCTAGTCACCGCCACCCGGTGAGCCTCGAGGGGCGCCGCTGACAAGAGTCTGCCCGAGTGGCCCAGGCGCAGCATCACTCAGTGACCTGCTCGGGGACCCGGGCGCCTTTGCAGACGCGCGTCGGTTTTTCCCCCACATTGCCCCGAAACCAGCTTCCCCGCTGGCTCCCGG